ACCCAAGGGTCAAGCACCACTGAGAGGCCAACCTGTGCACTGCATCAGTGTCTTCCAGACCTGGCAATGCACACCTCTAGTAGTCAACCACTGAATTTTGCAGAATTTTCTCAATTCAGCCACATCCCTGCAGCACCATCTATGTGGTCAAGTACTGAATTTCGCAGAAGTTTCTATGTTCAGCTACCTGCTCGCAGCGCACCCTAGTGGAAAAAAGGGAGTTGCACGGAAAACCACATTTTCCAAAATTCACCTTTTGCCAATTTGAAGCATGGCAACGTCTTCAGCTATGACAGTTTCCTCTGATGTACCAGAGTACTCGAACCCTCCACCCACCCTCGATGTAAATGTGGAGCTTGGTTCCCCAAACCCAGTTTTGGATGTCCAAACCTCCAAAGAAACAGTGGTACCCATAAAAGCCTACGACCTCAGACAGCATAGGAAGCTTACCAAACCCATGGAGGCACACTTAAGGGAGGATTGGGAGAGGCAATATCGCCGCTATGCAGACTCCTGGTTGGAGCTAGAGGAGATCTGAAAACCTCCCAAATGCAAGCTTTTCCCAGAGAGAATTGACACATTGCTAGATGAACTAGATGCCCTTCTCACATGGTGGAGAAACTGCAAAAGTAAACTCGAGTCCATTCAGTCAAGACTGGGTGACCCAAAACTCCAAGAATACATCCAATGCTTCAAGGAGTTACAAAAGATAATAGATAACAGATAATCAGAGTTGGAAGGGACCTTGTAGGTCATCTAGTCCAACCCCCCACCCAAGCAGGAGACCCTACACCATTTCTAACAAATGGCAGTCCAATCTCTTCTTGAAAGTCTCAAGTGATGGCGCTCCCACAACTTCTGAGGGCAAGCTGTTCCATTGATTGATTGTTCTCACTGTCAGAAAGTTTCTCCTTATTTCCAGGTTAAATCTCTCCTTGTTCAGTTTCCATCCACAAGGAATGCAAAGACTGCATTCGGGAAGGCAAACGCTCCCTCCAAGCAGCGCCCCACGACACTTTACAGCTGGAGGAAATGTCAGGGGAGAAGGCCATATCTGACATAGCCCCTCGATCACAAGTGGCTTCATCCCACTATTCTAAGAAAGCCTCCCTCCATCCCAAGCCGGCTAGATCTCAAGCAGGTTCCAGTGCCTCATGGCAATTATCTGCTGCTGGCTCTCACCATCCTTCCAGAGCATCCTCCCATTGCAGTGATGCATCTAAGGCCTCCAAAGCAGCAAGTTACATCAACCGAGCTGCAGAAGCTGAGGTAGAAGCTGCAGTAGCAGATGCAGATCTATGCACAACAGAGGAGGTGACATGGCAGAAGGAGGCAGTAGCATCTCAAGCAGAAGAAATGGCCAAAGCCCAGGCCAACCAACAGGCAGAAATGGCCAAAGCTCAGGCCAAACAGGAGTTGATGGAAAGGCAAACGGAGTCAGCAACAAAAACAGTCCGAGCTGCAGCATGGCAGAAGGTGGCTGACATCGCCTCCCTCAACTTCAACCTAGAAGAGTTGGGAGAAGAGAGCTCAGATAAATGGGTCAAGACCTACATGGATGAGCAGCATTCACTATGAAACAAGCAAGTGGAACCGGCACAGTTAGCTAATGGTCTCCCAGGACCTAGGAATCAAAAGGGAGAATCTTAACCACAGACTCTAAACACTGGTCAAAATTTGATGTCATAAGACCTAAGACTCGAGACTCCGTCCCCCAAAACAGAAAACCTACCCCAACATCTCAAGACTTGCAGGGCAAGCAAATTAGCCCACCAGTAACAGCGAAGATTTTTCTGAAGAGAGACATACATCAAGCGACAACTGATATGCTCAATCCACAGGCAGTGGCATTCCTGCCACAATCTCAACACTACTCGAGCTTACAGGTACAACAAGATAACCGCAGCCGGCCTACCCAGCAGCATGAAGCTCAACCATCGTATACACCATGGCAGGACAACCTCCTCAGTAAGTATAGCAAGGATGACTACAACCCGTCGCTGAGATACAACCCAGACCTATTCTACGATAATCCAAGGGGAGAACTCTCTGCATCACTGCACCTCACCTACAACCCCTATACCACCTCAGCAGATGATCCAGCATACTGGAGAGACTTGGCACTAAGGAGAGGAAAACTAAATTTGGCTGCCAACTGTGTATACAAATTCACTGACAAGCCAGGCAGAAGATATCTGCTATGGAAGAGTATTTTCATGCGCAACATTCAAGCCGTATGCCTGAAGCCCGACGAAGTACTTGTACACTTGATAGCATGACTGGGGCCGCGGTCTGAAAGAGCAGCAAGGACCTTTATGGATCCCACTTACATGATCCAGACACTGCCCTTCGGTTGATGTGGAAGAGACTCGACAAAGAGTATGGCACTCCCACAGAGGTGGAATCATTGCTCTTGGATTGCCTCAACAGCTTTCCTAAAATCAGTCTCCATAAGCCTAATCAGCTCAGGGGCTTCTCCAATATACTTATACAACTGAGAGCAGTACAATGGGATCCCAACTTACCAGGACTTGCTTGTCTTGACCAATTAGATATGCAAAGCAAAATCATTTGAAAACTACCACAGGTGCTAATTGAACAATGGATCCAGTTGTCTGAGGCTTTCAGGGCCAATGGTCGACACAAAGTAACTCCCTTTACCCTTCTTGAAGAATTCATAGCCCACCAGCCAATGTTGTGCAATGACCCCCAGACCCGCAGACTCAGAGCTGTTAAGAGTTACTTTGAGTGAGCAGATGCCTACACAAAGCTGAAATGGCCTTACACAACAAACACCCCATCATCTTTCCTGTTTGCCAACATGTAACGAGCCTGTTAGTACGACACTACCATGAAACAGTCCACCATCAAGGCTGCCACTTCACAGAAGGTGCCATCAGAGTGAATGGACTCTGGATCGTAGGTGCCAAAAGATACATTATGACTGTTCTGCAGAGATGCTACCATTATTGCAAACAATGGGGCGTGACTCTACACCAGATGATGGCTGACCTACCACCTGAGCATCTGAGTTCCGAGCCACTGTTCACCAATGTAGGCCTTGATGTATTCAGACCTTGGTCAGTGTCTGCCCGATGGACTAAGGGTGGTCGAGCTAACAGCAAACGGTGGGCAGTGCTCTTCACATGTCTCAGCATCCAAGCTGTCCATATTGAAGTCATCGAATCTATGGATGCTTCTTGCTTCATCAACGCCCTAAGAAGGTTTCAAGCCTGCAGAGACCCAGTCAAGGTATTCAGATCTGATCGTGGAGCAAACTTTGTAGGAGATTGTAAAGAATTACAGATTGAGGAAGACATTCACCCTAACTCGCCAATTGATGGCTATCTTAAACGATTGTGTATGGATATTTAACCCTCCTCATGCATCCCATATGGGAGGAGCATGGGAACACATGATAGGAATAGCTCACAGGATCCTGGATTCCATGTTGATGAAGGCACCTATGGTGACACATGAGACTCTATCCACCCTGATGGCAGAAGTCGGAGCCACCATTGATGGTCAACCTTTAGTTCCAGTTTCCTCAGATCCTGAGAATCCGACTATTCTCACTCCAGTTACCTTGCTAACTCAGAAGACGGGTGACTGGCCCGCACTGTTAGGGAATTTTGACTCTAAGAACCTGTACAAACAACAATGGAGGCAAGTTCAACAGCTTGCCAATATCTTTTGGAACCACTGGAAGCAAGAGTACCTGTCCACCCTACAAGATTGCTGTAAATGGAAAACCAAGGAACTGAACCTCAAAGAAGGAGACCTTGTCTTGCTAAAAGACAAGGATGTGCATCGGAACTTGTGGCCTATGGGACTTGTGCATCAAATCTTGCCCAGCTCTGATGGACTAGTCCGCCAAGTCAAGGTCCTGATAGTGAGGTCGCTAGATTCCTCCTGCGACCAAGAAGGTCTACACCAGACCAGTCACCGACCTAATGTTGCTGCGGAGAACAGCTGAATTTGAAGATTAAACCTCAAGCTTTGCATGCTTTGCTTTGTTTGATGCTATATTACTGTTTACTATTTATCTTAGTTATATAGTTAATTAATATTTAGTTGGTAGTGGAATTTATAATTCCAGGTGGGGAGTGTGCTGTCCAGTTTATAGTTAGTTAGGAATAGGGAGTTGTCCCTTAACAGAATGCATCATGGTAAATGTAGTTAAGGTATCCTGGGAAATGTAGTCCATGTCAGGTAGTCACATCTGTAATCCTGATTGGTCACTGAATTGACCCTTGGTGGGTTGGGGGAGGTTTCTTCACTCTTGCCTGAACCCCAGCAGCGTGCTGGTGCCTCACCCCCTTACTCCTTCATTATAGGAATAAAAAGAACAGTATCCTTTTACACCATAAAGTAAACTATGCAGAAAATTGGACATTGAGATGAATCTTGACGTAACCGTGAGTTATATTTGAGGATGCTGATGAACCAATAAAGAAACTTTGTATGGATGCCTTTGTGGAGTTTAATCTGTCTGCTTTATAATCAGCCAGTGGTTGTAAAGGCCAGAACAATGAGTATTTCAGACCACTCATTTTTGAATATTCCTGAATAGTTCTTTATTCAAAATTCCTGAGTCATAAGAGAAACAGGCTCTCAAGTAAGCACATTTATGACAGAATTACAGATATTTAGTTATATTCAGTACTCTGAAGCAATAATAAGTTCAATAGACTGAACTTCCTTGCAAGCATTCCTAGGTCACAGTAATTAATAATAATGCTAATAGCAATCATATTAGTTCATTTAATCACATCATACACTGAGCCACTCTCCTTTGAATATTGTATTTAGCTAATACCATATTTTTCGGAGTATATAAGATACTCCAGAGGGTGAAATTGTTTGTGCATATTATACAGTGAATGTTGCTGAAGCCCTGTCTACCCACTGGCCCCCTTGGCCTCTTCCTTGCAGCAATTTGCCTCCTTGCAGCAAACAGCAAACAGACAGTTTCAGCTTTAGCACAACTTGATGAGCACAAGCAGCTGATAGTCGGTTGGATCGGCCTCCCGGCCATCAGCTGTTTCATGCTGCAGAGATTGCCATAACCTATTGCTGCTTCCGTGAGCTCCATTTTTGGCCTCCACACGCCCTATTTTCTTCCCATTCTGATCCCTGACACCTGAATGGGTGGAAAATGGGACACATGGAGGCCACAAATGGGGCATGTAGAGGCTGAAAATGGGATGTGGAGATCAAAAATGAGGTCCATGGAGGCAGCAATAGTCTATGGCAATCCCTGAAGCATGAAACAGCTGATTGTCGGGAGGCCGATCCAACCCAGAATCAGCTGCTTGTGCTAATGAGGCTGTGCTGAAACTGAAACAGGCTGTTTGCTGTTTGCTGCAAGTAAGCAAATTGCTGGGAGGCAGAGGCAGATTTTTTTCCTGTTTTCCTCCCCAAAAGCTAGGTGCATCTTATACTTCAGACTGTCTTATACTCCGAAAAATATGGTAATTCATTCTTATGCTTCTGTCCAAAATGTCTGAATATTATCTGGCTTGTCGTATTCTCTTAAATGCCAGTTCCTTTCAGGAAGGCCTGACTCCATGTTAATGACAGCCTTACTTAATATCTAGGCATCAGTTAAATCAGTGGTTCTCAAACTTGGCAACTTTTAAGACATATGGACTTCAAACCCCAGAATTTGGGAATTTGAAGCCCACATTCTTAAAGTTGCCAAGTTTCAGAATCACTTAAGTTAGATAAACAGCTTAACACAAATAGTTCTTTATCACATCAGATATGCATCACATTTAAATAAATGTTGTCTCAGCTTGTATAGTTTACTTATTGCTATGAAGACTAATCAAAACACAAGGTATTAAATCTTGAGCTTAAATTGCAAATGCAACCTAAGAAACTGAATTTTTAAAAAATCATTCCACTGAAGTTTATCATTACAGTATAATTTTAAATAAAATTAAGAAAAAAATACAATTTGTGCAGCAAGCTTTCAATAGCATTAACCACAAAAGGGAAAAAAAACTATATTCAGAAACACAGAACAGGAGGCATAATAATGGGAATAAGGAGGCATAATAATGCGAATTAATTAATTAGTTCTTTATTCTCTTGTTAATAAACAACGCTACATAATCCATGACCCACTGGGTCACTGTTTCAGATATATTTCCTTACCTAAACAGAATGATGAAGGACAAAACAAAAACAAAACAGTATGATCTGGAACAATTTCTGATGTCCTGCTGGCATGATCATGGCTGACTGCTCCCTGGTAACCAATGGTGGGAGCAGTTTACTTGGCCTCTACAGGACTACATTGGGACTGATCTTTTGAATCTTTGAATGGTAATGTGGCTGTCTGGCAGCACTGAAGCAACCTCAAATTTGCCAAATTTCCTTCCTACGGGAGTTTTACAATAATTCAGTACATGTAAATTTGTTAAATAACAATGACACTATTGTTACTGGGAGCCAATTTGGTCTAGCAGTTAAGGCATCAAGCTAGAAAGTAGGAGACAATGAGTTCAAATTCTGCTTTAGACATGAAAGCCAGCTGAATGACTTTGGGCCAGTCACTTTCTCTCAACCCAACCCAACTCACGGGTTATTGTTATGGGGAAAATAGGAGGAAAGTATGTTGGATACGTTTGCCACCTTGAGTTATTTGTAAAAATAATAAAAATTGATATAAATAAGTAAATAAATAATTATTCTTAAGCAATAACAGAAGGGCAATTTGATCTGAGTTGCAAACTCCTTGGTAAAAGAAAGGTTTTGCCTATTATGTGATATTGTCATGTTATATATCAATGTTTCGCCTTAATGTGGAGGTTTCTGAGCATTAAATGACTGAAGATTTATTTTGGCTTTTATTAAATTAACAAGAACAGAATCAAATCCAATGATTAAGTTGGCTAATACCAAGACTATGAATTATTTATAAATGTTATTATTCAAACCTGAAAAGTGACAAACATATGAGGTATTAATGATCAGAGCATGCCCTCTAGTGGTCAGCATTTATTAATGCAGGACACTTTTAACTAAAAGTATTAATTTTACTTTAATCATTTTGCAGACATATTTTGCAGAAGGATTCAAACATATAACAAATATGAATGGTTCACTGTCAAACCCATCCACATTTATATGCTGCTTGCTGTCAGAAAATCATACAGGCAAAATTCAAATGAAGTGGTACTTGGTGGGATCCTCACGGAAGAATACATTCTCTTTGAATAGTTCTCTTCATCTTTGAAAAGTAACTGAAGATTTAACTCATCATAGCCACAATCTATCGGGATGATTTTCTGTGCTTTCTGAAATAAATTAGGACTTAAATGCACTATGATACCTGGTGGGGGTGGGGGAGAAATATACATTCAATCAACCCAATGTTTCGGTCTTGTCCAATGGTGGGATTCAAATTTTTTTACTACTGCTTCTGTGGGCGTGGCTTGGTGGGTGTAGCAAGGGAAGGATACTGTAAAATCTCCAGCCAGAGGTGGTATTTGCCAGTTCTCCGAACTACTCAAAATTTACGCTACAGGTTCTCCAGAACTGGTCAGAACTGCCGAATACCACCTCTGGTCTTGTCTCTATTTCCATGTTTTAGAACTGCCTTTTAAAAACAATACTGGGTCCTATAGATAATAATTTCTTCAAATAATTATTGGGTACTTTCTTATTGTTCAAAACAATGTACTTAAAAAGTATACCAATATGCAAATGACAAGAGAAGAAATCATAAACTGTAATTATGAAACAGCATAGAACAGTGATGGCTAACCTTTACAGCACTGAGTGCCCAAAGCACGCATTGCCAAAATTAAATGCGTGCATATCCCTGTGCATACGCCCACCCACCTATGCACATGTACATGTACCTTTGTGTGCATATGCCCCCACACATGCACCTCACTCCATGCCTGCACGGCAGACTAGCTGTCCGACAGAAGGCACATGTGCATATGCAGCAGATCTGAGCTGGGCAACGGCTCATGTGCTGAGAGAGAGGTCTCTACATGCCACCTCTGGCACATGTGCCATAGTTCGCCATCATGGGCATAGAATCAAGGAAAACAAACCCAGCAAAAATCCTAGTGTATTCATAAAAAAAAAAGTATTTCAGGAATAAAAGGAAAAACAAAAGACAGATGGTGACAGATTATATTTTAGCTAACTTAAAATTTATCTTGCAAGGTTCACATGTACATACAGGAGATATTGATCTTTATCTTTTATATGAGTTAAATTAAATAATATAAAATCTGAATCTTACTTGGTGGGAGAGGCTCATCAACAGTTGGGTACTGATGGTGATCAGGTCTCAATGAAGGAAGCTGGTTGATTGGCTGAGAATTATGAAGCAAAGGGCAATCACCTATGGATAAGAAAGGGCAGAAGTGCATATTCATTCAAAGTTGCCACACATTGATTGCAGATGCATTATGATAAACACATATGATATAAAGGTTTGGGAATCAAAAGGATTGACAAACGTTTGGTGTATTAACAATTTAGAAATCTTTATATAGCAGACAGGTACTGAAATGTAAAAGCAAAAGATAGATATTTGAAGGATCGATGGGTGAAATCCCCACATGAAAACCCATAACAATTTAAAACACCACGTGAGGATATAAATGTAGCCTTTGTCAATTGGCACTAACTTTTAACTTAGAATTCCACCCAGCATGGCTAGTGACTCTACTGCTGAGCGTTATGTGTCTTCATATGTAGGGCACCAGCATAATAAAGGAGGATACAACATACCTAAGGTGATGTGGAATCTATCATACACAAAACATATATTCAAGTCCAAAGGAAATAAAGAGAAAATTGGAGAGCATCTAAACAGCCAATCTATACTTGAAAATTTCTAAATTTGGTGGCTTCTTACAGTATTATTTTATTCTCTAGCCCAGGGTTAAATTTGCCCTTTATCGCCTGAGGTGTATTACTCATTAACAGAGATAGTAGATAAGGACTCATGGAACTGAGAAAAAAATGTTTAGAAATAAGGCAGAAATCCCGTGACCTGCAGCATCTGATGATAGATGCTTAGTACATGGACTGCAAAGTGGCAACCATATATTTCTCAATTTCTACACCATACATTTGATAGTTCATTTCCTATGTAAATTATTATGAAGGCACAATAAAAAAGAAAATTCAATTCCCACACCTGCATTTAAAAGTGGGTTTTTAAATCTGAGGTCCTATATTAAGTAGAAGTTTGTCTATATGATAAGATCTTTATTATTTATTATTTCTGCCTAAGTTATGATATTCAAGGTCCTCCTCCTTCTCCTTCAAATCTAACCTTCTCTTCTGATGCTTGGACCTGCTATTGGAGGCTCTATATTTTCTGCAGTCCCCTGTAGATTCATTCCGGGAACTACCAATTCCTCAGACCAATGGGCAGAGCTATCCAGCTGTTCCCTGTCCAACTCAGGGCTTTGACCCGAGTCTGGCACTGATTCAAAAGCACTATTTTCCTCCTCTTCATCATCCTGCGAAGAAAAAACTGTGCTCTCAGAAATCTTTGCACTATCAACAGAAGAGAACCTAGTATGGCTTGAGAATCGGTTGGCACTCTCATGGCCAGAAGTGCTGTAACAGGAAGTGCTGTAACAGGAGGTACTATAGCAGGAAGTGCTATAGCAAGAAGTGCTATAACAGGATGTGTCACACACTTCATATTCAGGGTCACCATTTGGTCTAGGACTCAGTTCACTGTCACTTTCAGTTCTTGGCCCTTCATTATCCAATGTTTGTTCATTTAAATCAGCAAGGTGTTCAATGGAGGTGCTGCGCGGAACAGTTCCCCGGACAAAGTTCTCTTCTACTAAGTTTTCCTGAGGAGGTTCAGCCAACACTGTTTCAGTCTCACTAACTAAATCTTTCTCAGATACTTCCCTCACTGTCAGTTCCTCGTCATTCTCTATTATACTGCCTTGTTCCTCCTCCCCTTCTCCATCATCACTACTCAATTGGGCAGAAGGCAAACTGTGCAAGAGATTGTGTATTCTTATGTAGTGTGTACGAGGAGTCTCAGGCTCCCCACAAGCAGATGCAATCACTGTTTCAAGTTCTGACACAGGCAAGGAACAAGGCCTGCTTTTCCTTTTCACCGTGGTCCTTAGTTGTAGCTTGCTCTCCTTTTCATCATCATTCTCATCTTGGTCCTCTTGGGCTGAAGCCCCTTCATCATCCTGATTCTTCTCTAAATCCTTGGTAACTTGAATATCTCCACTCACCTCATCGATAGATAAGGCTTCTATGCTGATAAAGATGTCACTATCTGCCTGAGTAACAGAATTAACTTTGTTGTTTTCTCTAACTTCAGACTCTGGAGGAGTGCATGCCAGCAAAGGTAGTTGTTCACTGAAATCCACAACACTTGGGGAAGGCATTATTTCCACTGGGATAGATTCCGAGAGATTAATTGTGTTTGCTGGTACAACATCATTCACTCTATATCCTGTTAGCTCTTCTTTGAAGGAGCAGTTCAAGGGAGGTTCTTCAGCTCCAGAGTTGCCCACACTGATGCATATTAGTGAACATTCATGTAGCTTTTCTGAAGCTGCGCTTTCTGAGGTCTCTATACTGTTGCATGCTGAGGTATTAATGGTGCTTTCCTGAAGTTCAATTGATTCATTGTCTACAGCAGTAGAGACCTCTTCATCATCTGCTAGAAGCAAAAAGAAAAGAAACATGACATATAAGTAAAATTGAGTATAAGTAATATAGCCTGACGCTTCAACAAACCTACATAAATATATCCAAATATCTGTTAAGCTCAGAATTAAGCTGCATCTCATACAGTTTAGTAACAAGTGAATTAAATGCATTTATTAAATCAAATAATTTGGAATATCATATATACCAAATGCTTATAAGATAAAGCAAGATATTAATTTCTGTTATTTAAAATTGAATCGATATCATTATCAAATAGGCTAAAAGCCTATATATACTCACCTTGGAATAAATCCCATTGAATACAATGAGATTTTATTCTGAGTAGATATGCATAGCATTATACAGTGAATTAAGGATTTTCCTATGTAAAAATGTAAAAAAAAAAAGAAGAGAGAGAAATAGATCCATGTGTAAAATATCAACCTATTAAGGTTAATGAGGTAATTCCATGCATGTCTACTCAGAAACAGAAACAGAGTTTAATGGATTTATTTTCAGCTCTGTTTGGAATTAATCAAAAGAGCAACAAAGTTCAGTAGTATTATTAAGGCAAAATTATATTCTGTTTTCATATGCATGTACGAGAAACAGAAGCTAACAAAATCCCCCTGTTCACTCAGAATGCAATGTATGTGTTTATTTTCTGAGTGTAGTTAATGTTATTACTGACTTCGCAAGACATGGTAAAATTTAAAATAAATTATCCCATTTTATCTCTTTTGCAAACAGACAGAATCCCTGATGACTATGATTAAAATCCTGGGCCATGATTTTGCTCCTTGCTCATTCATCCAGGTTCAGCTATATAAGTTACAGGGCCATGATCTTTTGAAGATGATTAAAATATGTTTTTCTGAATTTCCTGCAAGCACAGTACTATTCATTTAAACAACTCCTTTTCCACATTTCTGCACAAGAAATTAATTTAAAATCAGTTATGGCTCCATTCCCCCCCACTCCAACCCCAACCCAAGTTTCCCAAAAGGAAGAGATTTTTAATGAATGGCAGGAGTGGGATTGACTCACAGGTCTACAATACTTCTTTCAAATTATTTTTGAAAGGCACAAAGGCACACAATTGCATTAGCTGGTTAAGTACAATATTTGAAATTTTACCATGATTGAAAGTTAAAATGCAGAAATCATTTGAAACTGTGATACATCATTCAAAGCATCCAAATCAGGATTATAGAATGCAGCTATCAGATGTTCTGAGTTTCAAGAACATGCAAAAAAAACAACCACTAGGAATCTCTTATGATCTATAATGCCCATTTATGAGACAAAACTTTGCTTAACAAAATTATTTTTAAAAATTGCTTGGTGATCAATTTGAAAGGCTGAACTCAGTATGTCACCAAATCATGACACAGAAAACTCCCTCAGTCCCTATCATCAATTTATCTTCTCAGACCTGAGAAAAATAAAAGAAAATCAACTTTAGTTCCACATAACTATCAATCTGTTAATTCATTTCTTCTTTGTTTCAAAAGAAAGGAAAAGGGACATTTTCCTATTCCAATTCACATTACATGAATCAGAATTGGTAAATAGGCTAAATAAGGCCTAAGTGAAGAAAAATAGGAGGATGAAGGCATATTGATATATTCGATGCCTTGAGTTATTTGTAAAAGGAATAAAGATGGGATATACTGTAAATAAATAAACAAACAAACAAATAATACCTGGATGGATTGAAGAAGTTATCTCAAATCTAAACTGTAGCTGGCCACTGACATGTTCTGTTGGTAGCCTTCGTCCCAGTGTGTAGCTAACAACCCTGTCTCTATTGGAAAAAAAATAAAAAAAAGAGTATTACATTTTTATATATGGTATGCTGGTTGCAACTGCTTCATAGGAATTATTAATGAATATTATTCATTAGACTTATTTGTAAAATCTGATGAAAGCACATCATAGGGCAATGATTAGTTCTGAACCAAAATCTAAGTCCTAACACTTAAGCCTCCTGAAAGTGTACCCCGAAAGTGCAAATAAATTTGCTCAATGTTAAGAGGCATAACGTCAATATTTGTGCTGACAGTGAGTTACAGAGATCCAAAAGGTTGAAAGGAATAGTTTTGCCAATCACAAAAGTCTCATCTATAGAAACATGGTCCTAGTTATCAACCTTGTTCTTAGCATTTTTTAGTCCAACACCAGTATGATTTCCTTTTCAGAATTAATAGCTTCTATTATAGAAGTAGAGCACAGGTCATATTTTATAAATTGGGAAGCGTATAATATTATATGAGCCATTATGCAGGACATTCAATTGTGACTATTAATACACTATATCAGTATCCTAAGTACAAGCCGCTATGTACTGCACAGTAACATGTGGTAAGGCCTTGATTTTTTAAATGGGTGAATATAACATAAGGCATCACTGTCTTGTATATAGAACATCTAGAATGAACAGCTATGCTTGAAATACATTTCCATTAATTATAATATGTATGAAAATGTAAACACTATAAAAATTGAATTATTTTCACTTAAATGGCTATATAGTATATATGTAGAAATTGGAGAAGAGAAAGAAATGTTTTATTATATAGCTTTTCTTAAGTAGATTGTTAGGTTTAATATTCTAATAAAACATGAAGAGAAGATAGAGTAAAACATAATGGATTTTCTTTTCATTGACATATTTAAAAGGCTAGATTGTTATCTAGGCTATCATCTACTCTTACCATCTGAATTTATTGAAGATTCTATAGTAAGCAGAATATTGGATGTCTTCCAAGTTAATTCACCTGTGATTCACTTGACGTAAATTATTTAAAATATTTACCCCAAATAAGGCAATTTATTGAAATTAAATTATAGTTTCCCCCTCTCCAATTGTGTAATTGCAATGGCAACCATCACTCTCCTTTTGATTCTTAGATATTCATAAAAAAGATAAAATTATGTTGCAAAGATTTACCCTATGGCATGTCTTTCTAGTAATCGTTGTACTGGCATGGAAAGCTTTCCCAGAAAACGCTTAATGATAGGTCGACTTTTTGCAAACTTGTCCTTCACCTCTATTTCTAGGACATCAGTGGGCAGAGAAACAAAGCTGAACAGCTGGAAAAGAAATAACACACAAAGGGAAAAATTACAGATGTTTCCCCTGCCTTTCCTACTAAATATCTGGATATGTATCTGATTATCCACCACTTCAATAAGCCCCAGGTCAAATAAAGGAAACCCTAAAGCCCATACACAACCCGTTATTCTTTATCAGTTATTATATGTTGCTTTTAATTTGGGGGTGGGAGAGTGACAATATTTCAAATTGAAACCCTTGCTTGTCACTGTTTCTGTTTGCATGAGAAGTTCTAGGATTCCAAAAACTTTTTAATTCCCAGAACTTCACTAATACTATTGTACATAAATGACAACAAATGGCAGTAGATGATGGCTGAGGCCTGGGATGAGTCAGTTAAAAGCTTGGCCATAGTGTAAATAAGATGTAATTGCATGTGAGAAAGAAAGGCAAAAAGATGCTGCTTAGAGCAGTGGTCGCCAGCCAGTGGGCTGGGGACCACTGGTGGTCCATGAGAAACTTTTGATGGTCTGCAGAGAAATGTCACCCCCAAAGCACCCCCCAAAGCAATTAATCCAGGCTGCGAGGGAACACAAGGCTGTGCCACTCACATGGCTCGCGGAAACACAAGGCTTGCGTTGCTTGCATTGCGAACAACACGAGGTAGTGAGGGGAGGGGGAAAGGGCAGAGGGGGGAACCCCACTCACTCCACATGCCTGGCCTGGCCACTGGGGCTGCTTCTTTCTGTTTATTTCTTCTTCTGCTTTTGGCTACATGCGAGGAAAGCAGCAAAAGTCTTTCTTTCTCTCCCCCAAACTCCACCAGAAATGAGTCTTTGGGACCCTGCAAGGCATCCTGCTCCAAGAGGCTGCCCTAGCACAACAAATCTCACAAAGACTCATTTCTGCTGGTAATAGGGGGAGAGAAAGAAACAGTCTTATAAGAGAGGGAACAGTCCACAGCTGGATAGTGGGCTGAAGAAGAGGTTCAGAAGTGTTCCTCCCTAGTTTCTTGGGCTAAAAAGGAGAGGGAAGGAAATTTATCTTTCTAGATTTGCAAAATTTTGCTAATGTAACAATAATGTGGAATTGGTTTATCTGATTATGTTTCTTGTTTGATCTACCTGGTAAGGTTTTCATAAATGACAAGATGAGAGCAAAGGGGTGTGTCAGGAACAACAGAAAATGCAAAGAAAAATATGGGGAAAAATATCTGGCTTGTTTGGGATTAACCTCCAACCTCACCATAGAGATTTTAGGGATATCACTTTTCTTTTATAATTAACTGGTTTACAATTTTTACAATTTTTATTGGAGAAGGAAAAAATAAATTATTTTCTTTGTCCTTTATTAAATGTTTTGTCATTGTGCTTCTCTTATTATTATACTCTCTAGCCAGAGAACCAGCAATTTTCTCAACTCTTTATGAAGTATTCAGTTGGGCTATAAGATTCCCAAATTTTTCCAACCATGAGCACATCTTAAATATATGGGAAATGTCACAAATGCTATTATCACAAAATATAGTACTACTTGAGAAGGGTTGCTCAGAGATGGGAACTAATGGTCTACAAACTAGGCAAAGACTGACAAGATACAATATTTCAACATTCCTAAGAAGGAAGAAACCTACTATGACAACAGCTTCCTCATATAGCAGAAGCCCTGCTGTTCCTAACATGGTTGCAGTTTGATGTTATCTAATTCAGAATAAATTGCTTTCTTCACTGCAGTTGTTCACTTGACTTCTATATTTTGAGTGTCCCATGGCATTATTGGCTAAGATGGATGACAACTCAATGCTCCCTCAAATCACATTTTATAGTTGCTTATTATTCATTAATTCTGATCAAATATTTCAATTGTTTTTATCCATTACAATAGTTCATGTTGCATATTTAGTAATTTTTAAATAATTAAGAATTATATGGCATTATTGAGTATACACCCATGTTTTGTTTCAATTAATAACTCATGCCAAGACTTTGAGTGAGTGATGCAGATGTGAATGCTTAATTTTGACATTAAAAAAGTTATTTGGTTTCTTTCTTATGTCTCTTAAATTAGAGCAGTTATTAATCATGTTAATTTGGACCAGACTTTAAATTAAAGTATATGGGATGAGCCAGGAAATGGAAACAGAAATTTGCACTGTTGATAAGCTGGGACTACTTTGTGAGGAGATATAGAAAAAGACAAGACAAGAATTCTTCTTGTCATCATTCCTATTTATTTTAGCTTTGGGAGTGCAAAATAGACATAAAATGAAATGAGCTGCTGGATTGAGGATTAAAAGAGAAACATACAAATTATGAATGTTTGAAATGAATATAAATATTAATGAAAAAGAGTAAGAATAGGGATTGACTAATATATCAAGAGGTAATTAAAAAACACCAAACCATAAATGAGGTACAAGCCAAGTGTAAAGATCATGGAATTTAACAGAACTATATGATATTAAAAATGTTTCCTTTCTGAAATATTTAATTATTACTCTGGGGAGCCTTACATTGTAAAGTAAATTTCACTGACAAAATTCCAGTTTTACTTCAGAGATTCAGCAGTTTATGAGTTTATTATAGAACACAACCTAAAGAACAACAAGTTGGCAAAACCTATTCCAACCTTACAAAATGCTGAACCATGCAACCATAAAAATACTCAAGATATTCCAAAGGGATGCTAATACTAAAGGGATTGATTATTACCAGGAATACTTGTGCACAAAACTATTATAATAGAGCAGGTTAAGGGACCCCATTTCCAATGGTAGATACTTCATCTTTCCTATTTCAATACTACAGAAATATAACATGCTTGTCAAAGACATAAGTATGTGCACAGGGGAAATTTAATTGGGAAAAAAATGTTGGTGAAGTTGGGCCCAAATCTAAAACATTTGCACCAAGAATTCATTCTAACTTGATCAATCTATTTATGGATAGTGCTTGCTAATAAAAGAAAGAGCTGACTATCTTATGCTTGATCTTATTGTGACTGATGTAAATTGACCTGCAACTGTGCAATAGAACTATAAAGAAATAAAACAGAAATTTCAGACAATTTGGAATTTCAAAAACTCATTTTCCTTTCCTGCTGAACTTTCAGATTGCATAACATAAGGCCATTTCTATTAATTTTGTCAACATCCTAAAACTCCTTGCTGAAGAATTTTTTGCAGCAAACTACTCTATTGTCTATAAAAATTGCCAACAAGGGAACAGAATAAACACCAAATATTTACATATTTAAAAATGGACTACATTGTTATAACATTATATAGATGGATTGATATTATTCTTTTGTAGGCAAGACAAATATGGATAATATAGCTAATAAACCTTTAATGGATTCAACATTAACAGCTCCATGACTGGAATTCTGAGTCATCTTGAACCTTTGTTTATAAAATTATGTTATAGATGCTACTATCAAAAGTGAAATCCTCACAAATAGCCCTTGACTTGCAATCATTTGTTGGTCATACAGGTACAAAGATAGTCAGGGAAATGATTGAAGCCTGGGAAATGTCAGTCAACAGGAATGCTGATTTTCTACCTGCTTATTAGCTACTTAGGAACTGAGAGCTTGGCAGCACAAGAAAACAACAGCCAATCACCAGCCATCAATAGAGAAGAGAGAAGTTCCCTAAAGATGGGCTTCAGCACAAATCCAAAAGCTTGGAAAACTAAATCTTTAGTCCTAGTGACTAATCCAGATTGGATCTTGTTTAGCAATCATTTGAAATTATAACAACGCTGAAAAAAGTAATTTACAACTGGTCCTTGCACTTACTGCTAAATGCACCTGGAAACCAGCATGAATTTGGAACAATTACAATGTCCTGGAGTCATCTGGTCACTATTTGGTACCTTTTCACCTAGTTTCCAACAAATACTGTCAATGGGAAAAGCTGGATTTGCTGAAGGCCACATGATTCACTTAGCAATTGAAATGATTTGCTTAACAACTGTGACAAAAAATGTCTTAATAATGAGTTGGCTCACTTAACATCTGTATTGCTTAATAAAAGAAATTATGTTAACAGTTGTAGTCGTAAGTTGAGGACTACCTATCTAGGTCTTAGTAGTGCAGTCTCCTAATGAGAATTGATTGATCTTGATGGCAATAAATAAGTCTCAATTTAAAAAGAAAGTAATAAATTAACCACAGTAATTTATTTACTGTTAAACTTATAGTATGGAAGAATAAGTCATTTGATCATGCCTGGTAGGCTGGAAAAAAACCAGACATTTCTGGATTCAAATACATACATTATAATGATAGAAACATTTTAAAAGATCAACATTCAATTGAAACAGAACATTTTCTTGTTGGTATTTATTGACAATTTAAAAAGAACCATGGAAAAAAAATCTATGGAAAAATGATATTTTTATATATTACTGCTGTAAGACTATTAAATAGGCAAAAATGGAAACACACTGAAATGCCCACGACAGAGGAATGGTTGGTGAAAAAGATATGAGGAAATTAACTTGTTTGATTAAAGGAAGACCAACAACTATATTTATCAATGTCTGACAATCCCTTATGGATTTTTTGCTAAAAACGAGGGAGAGAGAAATGAACTTGTGATTTATGTGGTTGAAGATTAGAAAGGATAATTTATGGAAAGAAGGAAATTATGATGTAATCTTAGATGAGAAGCTAAAGTATAAATGTATTCATAACTGCTACCAAAAAGCTTGGAAGCAACTTCTTTATAATCCCTTCCATCCTTCCTTCCTTTCCTTCCATTTCCATTTCTATTTCTATTTATTTTTCTTTCTTAATCACAATTTTATTTTCTTTGCTTTTTTTCTAATATTTGTATTGTTTTTATCTTACTAGAAATATTTGAAATATTTTCTAATTCATGCCTAATGCTATCAATTTCTAGTTACTGTCTTAGCATTTAGAAGACATTAAGCAAGAAATTAAAAGAAATTTTGCTATTCAAAAGTTAAGATTTCACATTAATTAGTGACCTTCCATTGTCTGACTTTTTAGCTTCCACTTTCCTCATTTTTTC